GTTGTTGTTGTTGTTGCTATAGAAACTTCAATCGTGTGCACAAAAATCATTTTACGGCCTCTCAAGGAAATTTGATTTCAAGATATGCTGGTCTCCGAGTATTATGTTGGCTGCATGATCCGGCGATGGACTGTTTCCATTAATTTCTCTAACCCATTTGAAATCTACAGAATTTTGCTGTATGTTCAATAGAAGCCACCATCATATTAAATCCACTTTGCCTAGCACGATTTTCGTGATTTGAGTTGCACACGATGATTTTTTTTGCTTTGGAAAATGCATTTGCCTGGGAGATCTGTACACTATGCCAATCTGAAAATAGTACGTAAAGGCAACAAAGCTGCATAGTATTTTTCACTACACGCGAGTGGCTGATTTTATCACCGTGAAACGTACGTTAATCTCGTGATCTCTGACTCAACGGTTTCGCGTGAACTGTAAAGAACATAGACTTCTTTCCGATATTTGTGATTTAGCCACATATTGCGACTGATTTATCTTGCGATTCCTTTCAGAAACCAAGTTCAGGAAGGTTAATGCCCATTCTTCGCCGTTTTCAGAAGAAAGATCGACCAAACCACAGCAGAAGGAGGAGGGCGGGAGGCGGAAACTGGCCTCAGTTCGTGTTGTAGCTTCAGTTTTCTTTGTCGGTTCTCAGGACAAAAAAAAAAAAACCGGACTGCCTTTCAGTCTTGCTTCTTCAAACGCCCCTTCAATAGTTGGATAGGCAAGAATCCTCAGCGTAAGAGCAGGATGAAATACTACACGTGACTGGAGAAAATGACTGCTTTATTCTCTAAGTGCTATGGAGGAGGGAAGGGGAAAGGTACCTAAAAAAAAAAAATTAACTTGTCTGCAATCATTCCCACAAAACAAAAGACGGGTGGGCCGTTTTTTTTCCTTTTTTTTTTATACATATATCTTTGCCTTTACCAACATGTCAGGCATCTAAAAGGAGGAATCTAACAGCAATTCTTAAAACATATTTAGTCTTATGTATTTTACATCACAACTCTTAAATAATTTTACCTTGTAATTATATTTCAAAACTTTCTTTACTTCTTTACACATTTTGGTCTTTGTACCAGCTGAACAAATTTTGAGTTGCTTTGCATTACCCACCCACCCCTGTAAAATAGTGGAATAGTGACCAAGAGTTATGCTTAAATATAACTTTTCTCTTCCCAACAGTTTTGCAAAATAATGAAAACCTGTGATCATTGTGATTCCGGTCCCAAGACTAGTGTTCTTTTCTTTTTTTATGTGAATATTATAGAGTTCATGTGCACAGTTAATGGAAATTATATGCTTTGAATTAAACCCAGTCATCATGGATTTCATTGTTTTTTTAAGAACATTTTCTTTTCTTGTCTGTAAAGTTCCCTTAGGTTTAAAATGAGCTATAGGTTATTATTTTACCTTGATGATGGCCTACTATAGAAATAATTTGGCTTTCACTCTTTAAATACATATTTGTCTTGTTTGGTGATACACATTTTTTTTGCCAGGAAAAAGCTCATTCTATTTTTTTATCATATGAAACAAATAGAATCTGTTATTATATAGATAAGGAAAACCTCATAAACATTTACTTTCCATACACATAAACACACGCTTATTACAAAACTACACCCCTTCAGTTGCATGCGATGTATCGTTAAAAATTCAAATCTCAGATGACTTCATATAACATTGCACAAGGTCCTGGTATCTAGTTACATAACAAAGACGCTAAAGTAAAACTGATAAAACAATAGCATTCAAAAATAACATAGCAACAATGCTAAAGTCAAACTGATAAAACAATAACAGTCAAACACAACAACAGATTAGAATTCAGTTTCACTGTGCAATAGTCATATGATAAAATATTTGTAGCCTCATTTCAAGATTGTGTCACAACAGCCCTAGGGATCCGGAAATAACTCCACTTGCTTTTCGTGTTTATCAATTGATCTTGTTGAACTTTACTTATTTGGATTGATTCCGAGATCTGTCTCAGCATAGCGTCACCCTGAAACACTCACATGACGTTCATGGTGAAGCCTGGTACGTTACCATCATTTTTCTCATAGGAATGTCTCCATATCACCGAACTTTGTTACCTCTGTTCCACAGCTTGCAGGTGTTCCTTCCTGCAGGTGTATGCACTTCGTGATGTTTCCCCAATTGTATTTATTGCGGCAGAGTTGACATACCAGCTCATAAGTGACACCGGTACTTCGGCAAGGCCTTTTTCCCCCGGTGCTGCAGACCAGACAGTTCATGTTGTTGCATTCATTTTCCCTGAACGGAATTTCAATCAGAATTTTGCAAAGAATCTGTGTTGCTGCCGATCTATTTAGAGGTGTAATGGATCACCTCAATCTCTGTGCAGGGCTCAGCACTTTTCACCTTTTCACTCCCAAGATCTGACTTTTACTTCTCCCTTCTAGCTGCAACACATTTCCTTGAAAATTGGTTATGAGAATTTGGTGTTCAATCAAGGTAACAACTACCTGATAAGTTTAAGTATTCTCATTACCTGTTTGCTGAGTCATGTATGGATATCATAGGGAGAAGTTACAGGTTAATCACTTCTGGGAGCTAAACGGTTAAATTCCTGTCAAGGATTTAGTTGTCATTTCTCTCTCCTAAAAAACACTGTTACTGGAAAGCTAGGAAGTTAATTAACTAAACTCTTTAATTCCTAGAAGTGAATTAACTTGTAACTTTTCATTATGATTCAAATATGTAATTACAAAAACAGTTTGTAAGAAAAGACAAGCTTATCAGTTGAAGGGTGTTATCTAGATAGCACCAAATTCTCCTGTATAATTTCCAAGGCAGTCAGTTGGGAGAGTTACTAATTGGATCACGAGGGTAAAAGGGGTTAATTCTGCCACTTTATTGACATAAAACAGGTTTAGTGCTTGCAGGTCCACATCAGGTCTTCAAATCAACTGGTAAAACTTGCTCAAACTTCAAGTTCATCTGGAATAGAAAAAGTAGGTTCTTGAACCACCAGTTTCGAACTTTCCTCAAAGGCTAAGTTCACCTGTAATGCAAAAGTACATATTTTACTTTAGAAGATGTAACACTTGTTTTTCTTGATAGATATTGAACAAAACAGAAAGAACTGCTTGTATATCAAACAAATTTAGGGCCCCCATTTTATGTTTGAAGATCTCATATACACTTTTTCTGTCTTACACTTGTGGCAAATGATTCTAAAACATCTTTCATTCCTGTGAGTGACAGAGGAAAACTTTCTCCTCAAAATATTGATACAATTTCAAGAAAGAGGAAAAAAGGAAATTATTAAAAATTGTAACACAACCAAAGTAAAGCATGCACCCTGATTGGTCAATTCAGCATCCACTGTTTGCCCATGGGTGTATGCTGCCCACGTGAGCAAATGCAAAAACTAGTTTTCCACAAGCGCTTCTTTTTTTCTGGTCATACAAAATTTGTTAAATGAAAGAAAACTCTATTGCTACAATGTATCAGTGTTATGTTATAAAAAAATGGTAAATGCCACAGTGTACACTATTGAGTTAGGGATGCAACTCTTGCACTTCTTTTGTGCTTAGCAAACTCCTGCATGCATCCATAACTCCATAATGTATGCTGTGGTGTTAACCATTTGTTAAAGGTGATAATTAGTTGATCCAGTGCCAAATACTCCAAAGTATCATCATGAGATTTGCATAGCAGACAGTATGGAGAATTACCAAAGAGATCTTGAAAGTGCAAGGGTTAATGTCACATACTGCAGGGAGAAATTCATCTTTGGTTACTCCCAAGGGTGAAAAGATTAAAGGACTTTGTCAGCTTCTTTGGGGCTGCTCCACATCAGAACCTACCTCTGCCTGAGGATCCTCATAAAGATTTTTGTCTGAGCGATCACTGAAGGCAACAAACTGGGTGTTAATGATACTTTCAAAGTCTCCAATATTCTGTTCTTCTGCATCATCAGCTTCACTGTTTGGATAAGAGTACTGATGTACCAGCTCCCGTTCAAGCCTTCGCTTCCTTCGTACCTTCTGCACATGACGAACCTTAGACAAAACCAAAATATTATTATTTTTTCTGGATAGTTTATTTTATAATTTGTAAATTCTACATAAATATCTCTGTTACATCCCTCTCTTCTTTTTTTTTTTTTTAAAGAGAAAATGATAACTTCAATAAATTCAACCCCTTTTCTATTTAGTATGATACACAGTTTGTAGGCAATTATTACTGCCAAAATGTATATGTTGATTGTGATTCACATCCCTGGATTCTAAAACTTTGATTGCTCAGCAGCTCATTGAGCTCAATTTCAATAACAACAATACTGGAGCTTAGAGGATGAATATCTTGCATCACTAACTAAAATAGGGTATCTGGTAGAGGGGTCCTAAAAAAAGCTGGTAACAAGTGGTGTATCACTTGCTATAAGACCTCTCACCACTGTCTGTTTCGCATGCGATCAGGTTCTCATGTTTGGGTTTGCCTAACTACCTCATTTCCAAGCACAGCTGCCTGTTGCACTGTTGGCAGCCACTTACAAAAAAAAGTTATTGAAACCCTTGCTAGTGTCATAAATATCGGATCATGTTTACTGTAGCTACACTCAACTGGTAATATCAGTCAATATATTGTTCGAGAGTCAGTCTATACTTGGCTGATATGTCTACTGACCCTTGATCAACACCTGATTGACATTTTGGTTGACAGTCAGTTGATAGTTAGCCGATACTCATTCTGGACTTGGTCAATAGTTGGTTGATATATTAGTTGAGATGTATGTTGCCGATGTAGCTTTTAGCTCACCCATACCTGACCAATATTTCACCAATACTTAGCCAACACCTTGCCAATGCCTCACCAACACCCCACCCATACCTCATGACACCGTGCCAATACCTTGCCAACAATTCATGGAGTATCAGTGCACATGCATTCTTTCCCCAAAGATTTTTGAGTAAAAGAGAGATTGCTTGCAGTCTAGCCTCGCACTAAAACATTTTCCTCTAACACACGATAGCATTAACTGACAAAATTAACTGACAACTGTTAAATAGGCACGCTTGATCCTGGCTCAACACAAGTGATATTCAACTGACAGTTGACCGACATACCACAGACAGTTGACCGACATACCATAGACAGTTGACCAATATACCACCTAGAATATGACTGATACTTGATCAAGATGTGTTTATGAAATATCAACCAACACTCAACCAACACTTGTCTGATAGTTGGTCACTATATTGACTGACTATCGCCTGATTGTCAACCGACTATCAGCCAACTAGCAACAGCGTATCAACCGAGTGTCTACCGCCATTTCGAGTGGGTACTGACCGACTCTCAACTAATATTTCGACCAATTGAGAAATACCTACTGTAATAGTAAACATGATCCTAAATATCTTTTAGACTTACCAAACAGTATGTGATCATGATGGTCAACAAACATCCCACTGGTATGAGAATGTAACCAAGTAGTTTCATGCGAAAATGATGCTTCTTTGGATGAAGTTTAGTTGGCAAAACAGTTGACAAGGTGTAATTTTCTGTTATAGTTCTAGGGTCTGTTAGTTCTGCAGAACTTAGGGGAGTCTTAACAGTTGTAGTGATGTTTGTGCTGGAGACATTTGTTTTCCTGTCTTGAAATCCTGTACCCAATAAATTCCCTTGTGTGTGGGTTGTTGGAAAAGTCAAGGGTGATGTCACCTGCTTAATAGTGTTTGTCCTTGTGATGACTGGATCTGTCTGTAGTTTATTGCTTGTAAAGTTGTTTAGTCTTGAGTTATTCCGGTTTGATGACTCTGATAAGTTTTTACTCTCTGTAAGTTGAATACCATTCCCCGCATCTTTACTAAATGACGATATTGGCATTCCATGCCCTAAATAAGGAAAAAAAAAACTTCTCAGTAAAAAGTTAATTTACACATAAAACATGGGTGTAATCACTTTTTAAAGGAACGAGTAACCACTGACTACCAGCATAAGATGTTATACATCGTGATCAGTCACTGATAACCTCTTCAAGGTAACTGAAGGGGACAGTTGGTCCGAAGCAGTGTTTTCGAGACAACCGGAAATTTTGTTTCGAAAATTCATCACAATGCATAATGTATCACGATCATTTGACAAACTCCTCTTTGCTCGCTTTATTAAAATTGAAGTAGTTTGAAATTCAAAGAGTGAAAGTGAAACCTAACCAACCGTTGAACCCTGTTCAGGAAAATGTGTACCTTGCGTAAGATTTGGAGCGAGACTGCAGCTAGATTTAATTACATATAAGCAACAAGTAATCTGTTATGATCAAGCACAATTTCTGCAAAACTGATTGCAAACAAATGAATAAAATTTTCAGAGCCAAATTACAGTTTTCTCGTGAAGGAAGGATAATCTTCAAAATGTTCGCTAACCTGTTTTCAACACTGCTACGACGTACAAGAAGGAAAGTAAGCTCAACTTCACAACGATAATTTTACGCATGTTCTGTTTTCATGGCCGCGTAAGGCGAAATCTCGCAGATGTCATCACCCAGAATCCTCACCGCTTGTTAAAATGATCGCAGATAGATCTCGATTAATGATTTCAATACCTTAAGTAGATAAATTCCCTGCTCAAAGGCGGGAAAATTAACTCGCATCGACTGAAAAACTCTCGAACCTTTCTGAACTCTCGGATCCGTGTCTTCCTCCTGAATAATTGTGTGCACGCGTGTGTGGACTGGGTGTGAATGTTATTCAAAATGGCGGCGCTGATCTGTGCCTTAAAACCCTTCTTGCAATTTACCGCTAACAGCGCCGTTTTCCTGCAAGAAAAAGCGTCAAAATGTTAGAAACAATTAGTGAAAGAGCTAGTCGACCTATAAGTTGTCTGCACTATTTTTAGGTATTGCCAATGCAATTTATTGACACTTTCCAATCTAGGAGCTTGCGCGCTCATCGCGGTCTGACTAACGTGGAAACTGCGAAGTTCGAACGATGATTTAGCAATGTTGGCGAGCACTGTACTTAAGGCACTCAGGGTTCATCATCATCTGCGATCGACGAATACTTACATCAGGTCACAAAATTGTGGTTTGGGTGCGTTTTCTTTTAGTCCTGGTGTGGATGTCCAAAACGTACAATCACAAAATCTAAAATTCTTGACAGACAAGTGGATCCATCGCTTAAAGAGAGAAAGTGTGCCTGAAGCAGAATTATCGGTAAAATTCATCACAGAACATTTTCTTGGCAGGGAAAGAGCAGGGGTATGTTTGTAAAATGCTAGAACACATTTTAGTGAAACCTGTTTTAGTGGACCCTATTTTAGTTGTCCTTTTTAATTGGAGACTGTAAAGAGGGTGTGGTAAAGTGGCCTTGAATAAACACCCACCACTCCACCCACTCCTCCCCCACTCTCCCAACTCCTTCCACTCTCCCCTGCATAAACAGAATAAAAACTGAAGTGCACAAGAGGAGTTTTGATCAGCATCTTTTTACTTACAATCACTAAATTCAAGGTCCAATTGGTGCATGTGTACATCTTCATGTTTTGTTATTATTCATTGTTTTGTTGCGAAATAAACTTAATATTCTTTGAAAATGATATAAATTTCTCAAGCACCCAGCCAAAAATGCACACCTACCAAGAATAGGGCTGCACCCCCTCTCAAAGTCGAGGGGCCCTTAATGGAATAAATATGCCATGGTCATAAGAAAAGCATAAGATTGCGGTGTGCTCTCACTGTTTTAATTCCCATTCTATCAGGTTTATGGTGTAAAAGAAAACAGCCAGAATTTAACAAGAGAGGAAGTCAAGAAAATTAATGAGCTGTGTCATCAGAGATTACATAGGTACTTATTATACTGTTAGGTGCTTGAAAATAGGGATTAAGGGGTAATAATTAGGTTGCCTTGGTTGAAACAACAGTTCTTATTGGTAAAAGTTGCAAGGAATTGTTTAATTTACCCTTAAAAAATGCAACAGGTTATAAAACAACCTAACCCTTTTGACGCGTAAGAATGACCCAGCATCTAATTTCTCCTTACGATATCACACCTGAATCAATCACTATGGTCACAAGAATAAATGTAACTTATTAGACATTTTGTTGAGAGGTATCACCGAGTACTTTTATGAGTTGTGCCATATTTTGACAAGCCCGTAGGGTGAGTCAAAATACAAATAACAAGTAAAAATACTTGGTGATACTACACACCAAAATGTCTAATAAGCTATTTATTGTCCAACATGCCAAATTGTTATTTCAGTGTGGGTGAATTTTGTGGATATTTATTTACAGGGAGTGTGTGACAGAAGTATGCGAAGCCGAACGGAATTGGCACGTTGTCATGTTGCTGTTTCTATTTTCTTCTATAAATGAAGAAATTTCCTGGTCGTCTAGTTGTTTTTCTTCATTTGATTTCTCTACTAATAAAACTTGTATCTATATTTGTCAGCCATTCTGACTCTTTATTATTAGAAATATGATTCAAATTGTCCACCATTTTTTTTGTAACTTCAATCCAATTCTCTGCGCAATGTGAGAAAACCTGTCCAAACGGTTCTCTGGAGTACAAATACTGCAGTGTAGTTGGATAATAAAGGAAACAATCACCAATTAAAGAAGTTCTTGATTTTTAAACAAATTCTCCATGCAGCACCTTAGGAAATGTGTAGAGAACAGTATAGAGAGTCTGCATACTGATGTTAGGGTCCATTTAGGGGACTGACACCTGTTTGTCAGGGGTTTGTGACATCAGTTCCTCTGTGATTTTTACATCAACACAATCTGATTATATCTGAGACTTCAATCAGTTATTATGTATAAATGGTTGCTGTCACTGTCCTTAAATTTCTTTTATAAAGGCTTAATATATTTTTAATTGTATTTGTGTAGAGTTCCTGTTCAGTATATTATCGGCGAATGGGAATTCCGCCATTTGACGTTGGCAATGAAACCACCTGTTTTCATTCCAAGACCAGAGACTGAGGTGATGTGGATTTTCATAATTTCTTTCAGGCTTTGTACTAAAGATTTATTTATACACTTTGGTGTTTGTGTCTTAAGTTTTTAGATGAAGGGACCTTTGCATCATACAGCTCTTTCATCCACGAAACAGTAGCTTTTTTTTTAATACTTTCATTTCTAGAAGTTATGAGATAGGGAAGATGTTAAATAAGCATTAGGTAGGGAATAAGAATTGGAGCAGTTTTGATTGAACGTTGAAAAACCAAAACCAATTGAAAGTAATCGCAACAGCCAATTTGAACAATGGTTAATGTCACGATTAACCAATAAGAGCTGGAACTAAAACAGGCAGCCTGCTTAACCACCCCCTGGTTAGCTCAATGGGTAAGAG